GCTCTTCAGGCAGCTCTTCATGAAAGCCCAGGAGTCTTCTGTGGGTCAGGACCATCTGCAAGTCCAGGGTCACCTCTTCCAGAGGATCACCAAGTCGCAGCACATCGTGTCCCACGCACAGCTGGTGACTCCAGCCGCTGCTGAGCCCGAGCCGGCGCCGGCGGCGAAACCGTTTCAGACCGTTTTTCAGCAGCAGGCGGATGCATGTCGCCCGCTCTCGGAACCGGCGGGAAGCAAAAGGTCCCTCTTGTGCGTGAAGAGGGCCTTTGCCCAGTTTGAGCAGGACTTTCCACCGGGCGGCGAGAAAGAAGGGCAGCCGCCAGGTACCCCTCCCCGGTCCTTCCCGTCGCCTTCCGTCAGCACAGAGGCCGCCATTTCCCATGCCAAGCAGCCCAGGCCCTCGAAAGGGTGCCTGGGTTTCACGGACTTCTCCAGTCCTCCTGACCAGCCACAGTCCATAGCTTACGAAAACACCCCGGGGAACCATACCTACGGAAAGCCAAGCCAGTCGGAGAGCGACTGCCCTTCGTTGAGGAAGAAGGAGAAGAACAAGCCTTGCGCGAAAGGGTCGGGCGGCAAGGGCCATGCGCGCAGCGGCCGGCCCCGCCGGAAGGAGAAGCTGAAGTTTGACGTCTCCTCTGTGGCTTCCCCCAGCCAAGTGGCCATGGCTTCCTTCTCTCTGCCCAGCACTTCGTTCGACAGCGGGGCCGGTGGGAAACCGACGATGACCATTTTCAACAGGATTCAGGCAGGTTCCAACAGTAAAATTTTCTCTAGGTTCTGGGTTCTTTTTAAAAGTTTTTTAAAAAAACATTGAAGGGGGGAGGGTTCCTTCCAAGCTTCTGAAACTGATCACGCTGGCAATGGGGGAGTTAGAGTCCTCTGCCTGTGTGCCCCGAACAGCTGGGGTACATATTGAAGTCAGGGAGTTCTTTGGGATCAAGGGCTGTTCTGGGGCCCAATGGAAAGGTGAGGCCTCCGGGTTGCCTTTTGGTGTTGCGGTTCGGAGCGGGGACTCTAACCTGGGAGAAACACGGTTTGATTCCGCACTCCTCCGCATGCACCTGCTGGTGTGACCTTGGGTCAGTCACAAGATCTCTCGGCGCTCCCTCAGCCCCGCCTACCTCACAGGGTGTCTGTTGTGGGGAGGGGAAGGGGAAGGGATTGTAAGCCGCTCTGAGACTCCGAGTGAAGGGCGGGTTATAAATCCAACCACTATTCTCCTCCTCCTCCTCCTCCTTCCTCCCCCCTCCCCCGGAGGAGAGGGGGGGAAAATAGACAGAAAAGCCTTCACTCCCATTTGCAAAGGACATGGGCGATTTCTAGTGTTGCCAGTTCTGGGTTGGGAAGTACATGGAGATTGGGGGGCGGGCTGAGGAGACCTCGGTTTGGGGAGACGAGAGACTTCAGTGGGGCGCAGTGCTGTAGAGTCCACCCTCCTGCGCAGCCATTTTCTCCAGGGGGAACTGATCTTTTTTCCTGGAAAACAATTGTACTCCCAGCCTGCAATGCTCCCTCTAAGCTGTGGAGTCTTCTGAGCAAAAATTCTACTTTGTGAGCTTACTGGCATTAAAATTGTGAGCAACTGATTTGGCTGCTGCATAAATAAGTTTGCTCTGGAGCCCTCCTTCCTGAGCGAAGACAAAAATGTGTGAGCCGGAGGCTAAAAAACTGTGAGCTAGCTCACACTAACTCTGCTTAGAGGGAACCAGGGGTCGTTTAGTAGAAAAAGAGGTGAAGGACCTGATTAGCATAACTCATTCGCATAGCTTATTTGCATATGCCACACCCCCTGGCATCACTGGAAGTATCTGCCCTCACAGAGGAGGGAGAGCTTGTACTTGAATAAAACTTGGTCTTAAAGGTGCCACTGGACTCTTTTGGATTGCTAGCTATTGGGGGGGGGGAATGTGCAGATCTGCCCTCACAGAGGAGGGAGAGCTTGCACCTGAATAAAACTTGGTCTTAAAGGTGCCACTGGACTGTCTTGGACTGGGGGGCTCTGCAGCTTACCTGGCTGCTTCTTGCTCTGACTGAGGGCTGCTGGGAGCAGGGGGTGGGGCTTGTTGCATGTGCCCGCCCCCTGGGCTCTTCACTGCCGGAGCTCCGCTCCTGTGCGCTCCCGCAGGAAACGACCCCTGGAGGGAACAATGCTCCCCGGAGATCTCCAGCCACCACCTGGAGATTGGCAGACGTAACGGTTTCTGAGGGAAGTGGAATTTGGAGGGGAAAGGCCTTTGTTTTAAAACACTTCAATTTATTTAATTTGTTTCTTTTTAAACTGTAGGGCGGAAATATCTACAGCTTTACTAATGCAGTGAGGGAAGAACACTTTACCCCCGGATGGTAAGTGGGGTGTGATAAGAGGCCGGGCAGTGCTTGAGATTTAGTGCAAGAAGGAATCCCCCCCCCCTCCCGTGTGCACACTTAACACTGGGAGCTAGAGCCGTACAGGAATCTGTCTCCTTACAGCTGGGTTTCGTTTGGTCACCCCCCGGGAGTTTGCTAGGGTCCTGTAGATGCGTTGCAGAAGTGCCCCCCTACCTATAGAACCGTATTCTTTGGGGGAAAGTGGAGGTAGTAGCCGTGGAAGACCTGGAGCCATAAAGAGATTTGCATCACCCTCCTAGACGTCATCACGACCACTGGCTTTTCCATATTAAAATCGCACCCCCCAAAAATCCTCCGTTGCCACCACCCCGGAGGGGTCTTTCTTTTTTTTTTATCCCTCGAGGCAAAGCATCTCGTGTAAAAACAAAACATCCATCTGCAGTAATACGCAGCACGCAGAAGGTTTTAAGTGGAAGTCGTCACAGGGGGGTTAAATGTATCGGCACATCGTGTAACCTGTAAGCATATTGGCTGACGGCAACGCCCGCGCAGGCTCACGTTTGGCAGGTGCTCCGCCAACTCCATTGGCTACCGGTTGAGTTCCAGATCTGCTTCAAGGTGTTGGTAATAACCTTTAAAGCCTTACATGGCCTGGGACCGCCTCTTCCTGTATACGCCCCAAAGAGCGTTGTGCTCTACGGACCAACATCTCCCGGTAGTCTCTGGCCCAAAAGACGTCCGACTTGCCTCGACCAGGGCCAGGGCTTTCTCCTCCCTGGTGGAACATGTTCTCCATTGAGATCAGGGCTCTGTGGGATCTTCCATTCCACAGGGTCTGCAAGATGGAGCTCAGGCCCTTCGGCTGAGGCAGCGGGCGTCCACGTATGGCCTCCCCGTGGTCTTTGTCACCCAATAATAGCAGGCTATTATCCATCTGTTACCAACGGCCCCGGGGAACCTCCCGCAGCCAGGCATTTTCCGTTCTTGGGCTGTGTGTGACCCCCATTTTAATGTAGGCTGTGTGTTTTATTTTTAAATTAAATTTATTGTAATGCTGATAGGTCATTACCCACCCTGAGCCCGCTTGCGGGAAGGGCGGGCTATAAATACGAAATATAAACAAACAATAAAAATAAATAAATATTTGTCTTTTGTCGAAGGCTTTCACGGCCAGGGTTCATTAGCTGTTGCAGATTTTCCGCGTTGTGTGGCTGTGGTCTTGGCATTGTAGGACCCTGTGACATGAACTGATCAAATATCTTTGATCAGAGAGGGCTGTCTGAGGCCCGGTTTGGGAAAAGCCAATCAAGGAAGAGTATGCTAATAGGAGGCCTCCATTCCCCACCACACTTTGCCCGGTAATGGATTGATTACCATTTACACAGAGAAAAAGATAGAAGGCAGGCAGGTAGACGGACAGTACGCTGACACTTCTTTGTAAAGGGAGTTTCAAAAGAAGATTGTGATACAGCGTTGGGGGTCAGCTCTTCAAAAATGGGGGGGGGGATATATTTTAAAAAATATTCTAAGCTAGCAAAGCCCCTAAATAGCTCTTTGGATTGCAGCCGTTATCTCTCCTGTAGCGGTTTCTTATATCTGATTCCCCGTTGGGATTCCCTTCACTAGTTAACACAGTTTGCTGGTAAATGAACTGTAGAAGCTTTCTTTTCCTAGACAGATACATATAAAAGGGTTGTAAAGCAGGAAATGGAAATGTCCTTGTAATGGGAAGGAAGGCCAGATTGCAACGCATTGGAAATCTAGCTTCCTAGTGTTACATTTCCCCATCCTTCCCCCCTCCCCCTTTAAAACACTGTTATTTCTGCCCTCAGCAGCAAGTCTGGGGGAGGCCCCGGAGACAGGAGCCAACAGGAAGGCGGCTTCATTTGCAGGACGTGTGGCCAGCTGTTCTATACGGAGCGGGGCCTGAACAGCCACATGTGTTTCTATAGCGAGCAGTGGCAGTCTCCATCAGGGAAGGAAAAAGAGCAGGTAAAAAAAGAAACTTCTGGGAACCAAGTATTCGTACCTACGAATATTATCTGTGTAACACTTGAGATTACATGGGCAAGATGGGTGCCGCGGGTAGGATGCTGGACTTTGACCAGCGAAATCGGGATTCAAATCCCGACAGTACTGGAGAGGCCGGTGTGGTGAGGAAGAGAAGAGATTGGATTTACCCCCTGCCCTTCACTACCCAAAGGAGTCTCAGAGTGGCTTATGATCCCCTCCCCCTCCTCACAACAGACACCCTGGGAGCAATGTTCCCTCTAAGCTGAGTTATTGTGAGCCAGCTCAAATTTTTTTAGCCTCTGGCTCACAGATTTTGGTATTAGCTCAGGAAGGAGGGTTCCAGAGCAAACTGATTTATGCAGCAGCCAAATCACCTGCTCACAGCTTTAATGCCGGTAGCTCACAAAGCAGAATTTTTGCTCACAAGACTCCACAGCTTAGAGGGAACATTGCCTGGGAGGGAGGTGGGGCTGAGAGAGCTCTTTCGAGGACTGCCCTTGAGAGCTCTGAAAGAAGGAGGAGGAGATTGGATTTATACCCCCGCCCTTCACTACCGGAAGGAGTCTCAGAGCGGCTCACAATCTCCTTTCCCCTCCCCTCCCCACAACAGACACCTCGTGAGGTCGGTGGGGCTGAGAGAGCGCTGTCGAGGGCTGCCCTTGAGAGGACGGTTCTGAGAGAACTTGTGACGGACCCAAGGTCACACCAGCAGCTGCACATGCAGAGGAGTAGGGAATCAAACCCAGCTCTCCCAGATTAGAGTCCGCGCTCCTAACCGCAACACCAAACTGGTGCCGTGGTTAACAGTGTTGGGCTGGTATCTGGGAGACCTGGGTTCACGTCCTGACGCATGACACGGAAGCTCACTGGTTGACCTTCAGCCGGCCGCACTCTTTCAGCCTAACCTACCTCACAGGGTTGTGGTGAGGATAAAACGGGGGACGGGAGAACGATGTCTTGGGTCCGCATTGAGGAGAAAGGCCAAGGGAACTCATTGGGTAGCCTTCAGGGCTCGGCCTAACCCACCTCATCAAGGGACCAGTGCAGGCATCACAGTTGTGGTTAGAAGAAGAAGAAGAGATTGGATTTATACCCCGCCCTTCACTACCCAAAGGAGTCGCAGAGCGGCTGACAAACCCCTTTCCCTCCCCCTCCACACAACAGACACCCTGTGAGGGAGGTGGGGCTGAGAGAACTCTGACAGAAACTGCTCTTTTTCAAGAACAGTTCTTATCAGAACTAAGGCTTGCCCCAGGTCATCCAGCAGGTGCAAGTGGAGGAGTGGGGAATCAAACCCGGTTCTCCCAGATTAGAGTCTGCGCACTTCACCACCACACCAAACCGGCTCACGGGAAACACCGTGGAATTCCTGCCCTCACCCTCGGGAGCGGATTTCTCATCCCACCCTTAGCCACAGCAAAGGGGAGTGTTGTCAGGGACTTTAGACTGTGGCTCAGAGGTTAAGACACCGAGCTGTAGACTGGAAGGTCAGTAGTTCGGCAGTTCGAGACCTGCGTGCCGCATGACAGAGGGAGCTCCCGTCTCTAGTTCCAGCTCTTGCCAACCTAGCAGTTTGAAAGCAAGAAATTGCAAGTTGATGAATAGTTACCGCTTTGGTGGGACGGTAACAGCGCTCCATGCGTGTATGAGTCTGGGGTCAGCCTCCCCGGTCGTTTCACCTCGAGAGCTGGCTTGTTCAGACCTCGAGACAGTAGCAAAATCCTCTCCTCTTGAGTAGGTCTCCTGTCCCTGGGTTCCCCTCCCGGGATGCAAGGAAGCTCTCACTGACTGCACCGACCCACACACTCGTCTTCTCCAAAAGTCAACATATCTTTATTTAGGAGGAGCAAAGATAAAAAACACATCCGTATCTCCCTGCACCCCAGCGAGCCTCAGCTCTACAGCAAAACACAACAGGAGAGAT